ATGATCAGAATTAAGTCTGTGGTGAACAAGTGACCAGTACTTCAGAGAGCTTCGTTTTTAGTGTGCGCAACAATTTTTTAGATGGCATATCCTGAGAAAATTGTAATGTTCAATATAACAAGCCATTTCTGAACTTTTGTGCCTAGATTGTCTGCTGCATTGAGTAAAGATAAGGAAAAGGTAATAATTTTGCAATTAAATGGGATTTATCAAAATAACAGGAAAAGAAAAGGTGCAATAAAGCAGCTTAGATTCTATTTCAATGTTAACGTAGCAGTTTACTCTGATATATTTTGTCTGCATATATTGAGCTATTCTTCTAGTCTATGATATTACATTGCTGTTCCTTTTCATGTACAACTTTACAGCATGTCTTAAAATATGTTTTGTTATCTGTGAATTAAAAGAAAACTATATTTGACACAAGTGTGTATATATAATATGTACATATACACACATGTATATATGTATGTACACACACATACATTTATGATAGCAATTTCAAACTCTTCATGCTAATATTTATGGTAAAAAGAAACCAATGGGTAAAAATAATTTTAGAAGACTGTTATAGTGCTGTATACTCACATGTGAAACCATTTTGAAGTACTTTAAGTTCTTTTCAGGCAATTTCTAGAAGTGATGAAAAAAATTTCTATTAGATTCTTCATAACAACTTGAGCGTTTTTTCAAATATATTGCCGTAATTAGGCATGCAAGTATGTTGCGTTGTTTTTTTAAGTAGCTGTAAGTATTTGCAGTGGGCAGTGATTTTTAGAGTGTGAGTTTGGATTAAAAGTATTTGATACAAGAATTTAAAAATATTTGTGTTTGAGGAAAAACTCACTTAGGTCAGTGTCATCTAGTTTCTGAATTCTTACTTGTTTTTTCTGTTTAATAACTGTGTTAAAATTTTGGGGGGGAAGGCTTAAAAGTGAAGTTTAATCAAGATGTGACTCTTTAACTTGTGTTTTTTAATGATGTGTGGAGGAATATTGTTCTCCACAGCATGAAAACTAAGAACTGTTTTAAAATGAGCTACCATGGATACATCTAACACACAGAAAAATATTTGACTTTTATGGAGGAGCTGTCTTTTAATTTCATGTAAATCTTGAGACTAATGGCATGATCTGCTCTAGAATCCCAGATTGCAAAAGCTTATAGAACACCTAAACATAAAATGATGGAATAACGTGGGTTGGAATGGACCTTTGGAGGTCATGCGGTCCACATCTCTGTTTAGAGCAAGGCCAGCCTCAAAAGTTAGACAAAACTTTGAAATTAAATCAGGTTACTCAGGAAGTATAAAGCAAGCCTTTCTATTTGTGTGAGGAAAGTCTGTCTCAAGGATACCTTGTTGCATCTACGTGCAAATGAAGTTTTGTCTGACGTTGACTATTCACTTTGCTGCTTACTGACCTGAGGAAAAGCTGTGCTAGGTATACGTTATAGGATTTTATTCTAAAAAAAAAAAAATTGAATATTTTATATTTGTTAAAAAAGTAAAAGTTTTTGAAAGGAGACTCACTTCTGTTTTTCTCCAGAATAGGTATTTTGAATTGCTTTTATATTTTCAAATTTAACCCAACCCCCGCCCAAAACCCCTTGCTGTGCAACATCCCAGAAAGTCTTTCAGTTTCCTTCAGTTCCCTCTACAGTTAATGATCAATTAGTGATTGGAGTAATTTAAACTGATTGATATTCATAGCTTATGTAAACTGCAACTTGTGTTACCTTGGTTGATAGATTCTTCAATAGTGTAATTAAAAAAAAATAGATAATTTTTTCTATAGGGCCTTTTAAAGCTCTTTACATTCTGCCTGGCAAGCGTGGGAATTCATTAGTAGTGAGTATGACTTTCACATGAAGTGATTCATGCTAGGCTGATAAGCTCCGAGTTAGAATATCTTCTGCTTACTGTGTGTGGACGCTACCGTGGAGAGGCTTGATTGCTGTATGACAGCTGGAAATGCAGCGTCATCATATAAAAGTAGAGAAGTTGTAGTCTTGGTTCCTGTTTGGTTCTAATGAATACAGTGCTGTAAAAACTTAGCCCAGAACTAAAATTTTCAGATGATGACATGGACATATGTTCTTTACCTTATAGTTTCCCTGCTAGTCTAGTATACCCACTTCTTTAAAATCCTTGGACTCTCTTATGTTGCCTGGGGCTGAGACCCTGATAGGTTCATGAATATATCATAAAATAAATGCAGTTTTCTTTTCTTCCCCGCTGTTAATGATGAACAGTATACCTCATTAATCCACCTAATGCTTGCCTCAGTTGCCTACTGGAAGGACCGAGAAACATGTTCATGTGTCTGAGATAGCTATAGATTGAACGTACGTATTCAGGACTGGACTTTATCTTAAGAAGGGGAGAGGTAAATATTAGCAGGGGAGCAGGGAGGCCCTTCTGGCTTCACCCCTGAAAACCTGTTAAAGGTCCTTTGTTTAGAAATAGTCTTTGCCAATGTTAGTCTGCCAGACTGGCCCTGTTGCTGGCCATGTAGGAGCCTCTCTGAGATTCCTTTCTCCCCTGTGCATCTTATCCATAACAACAGTGACTGCTCTAATTGCTGAGGCAGCTGTTTCCCCTCCTTTCTTTGTAATGTTGGCAGCAATTTAGTGCTGTTGCCTGAACTGGCAAGGTTTCTGGAAAAACTAGAAAGACATTGCTGTTAGGTTTAACCTCTGTTTCTGTCCCGAAAGCCTTTTCCTTTCAAGTCCAAGATGTGAAGTTGAGCTTTCTCATAAGAGAATTTTTGCTGTCACTGACATTGATTTCTTGGGAAAGATTCTTATTTGCTTAATGTTTGGGGTTTTTTGTAAGCCTTTGCAATTGCAGCTCCAGTTGGAGCAAACATGGACTACCTAAAGCTGATCCATAGAAATGGGTAAGCATGAGAGGATATACATAAACTGACTATTTTCAAAGAGTAGGTCCAAGTGTTCTAGAGAGGTGGAATAAGGGGGAAGCTGTGAGCAGTAGTACAAACTTAAGAGCTGAGTATTTGTCTCATAACAGAAGGAACTCTTGTTAAAGTTTAGCAAAAGGAAATTGTGCAACCTATGGCTTTCACTGCTGCAGGGCATCATAGAGATAAGCGCTCAGGATCTTTTTAAAGAAATTGGGTACCTTTCTAGGCACTGACTTCTCTGCTTTACTTGTTTATCATATTCTGCTCCTGTAGAGAAAGTAAATATTTTAATCCCTCAAGGCTGTGCTCTGAGTCTCCAGACTGGTTTTGGCCTTAACTATTGCGTGTGCTGGGATGGACTTGAGTGTCTTTAAAATGTGAACGTTTTTAGGTAGGGAGACATGCTTCCCGCTAACCTCATTCATAGAAAGGATAGCTAACACAGTTAAGCTTAATTTTTCACTAAAGCAGAAAAAGTAATAATATAAATAGCTCTCTCTAGATAGTAATAACATTGAGAGGAAAAAATGATAACGGTATTAGGAATTTGGTTTGAAATATGTTTAGAGATCTCCTTCTGCTTCGAGTTGAACATTCTGAAACTTCATCTATATGCAACCAACTGAACATAATTTCCTGTTAAACTTTATTCTGACAGAAAAGATGGTCTAGCAAACTAAAAACTAGCTGGTGGTTGGCAGCATGCAACAGCCTAATTTCTTTTTCTATGTGCAAACAGTATATATCATACCATATATGGGGTCTTAAAGAAACTTAAGGTTTAGAAAAACATCTAGCCTGCAGACTTTTGGACCCCGTAACAGCTCCAGCAGCTGGTAGCCCCTCGAAGAGCTCCTTGAATGACAAAGGTTGGCGCGTTTAGCAGCTACAAGCACGGAAATCTGCAGCCTGTGTCACAGCTTAGTTTAATTCAGTGATCTCATCTCTGTTCAGTCAGCCTAGTAGCTGTTCTCTGTGCGTGCTTGAGCGGTTTCAGTAGAACCCTGGTGTCTGCAGCTCCGTGAACTGACTCAGCGCGCTCTGATTAGAAGAAGCATGTTCCCACAGGATTGGTATTCACCGTGATTCCCCTCACTGGAGCAGTTTCTCGGTGTTTGTTTTGTTTCTTGCTCTGTAAAGCAAGGAGTGCCTTAAAATGCCCAATATTCAGGCCATTGTAATAGATGTCACCAGTAACTATTGGGGTGGGGGAAGAATGCAACAGTATTTACAATAATCATGCAACTATTGTTGGGGAGAAAAAAATATTCAATATGTATATGAGTCATTGGAAATTTAGGAGGGGTCTGTCGGGTACTGCCAAACTTCACTTCTTCAGCTCTGGATAATTTCTTTACTGTGTTCTCAAAATGAAAAAAAAAAAAAAAAAATTGAAACTGAGACATAAACCAGTAGAGCAAGATGTCTTGCACAATGCTGATCTAACCATTCATCCAAATAGCTTTCCTAAATATGCTAACATTGTAATTACATCTGTTAAATGATATTGCCGGATAGGCAAATCAAAGATTTTGCAAGTCTTGCAATGATTTTATTTTAGTGATTTCTGATTTTAGGATATGAAATCATCAGCTATGGTGTAATATCAGTTAAATGTTGTTTAAGGACATTTATTTTAAAATAGTAACTTTTACTGATATTCCAGTGGGAACTTGGCCTTACTTCAGTACAATATACTTTTTGAATATTTCAATTTTTCAATTGTCATAATGAAACAGCAAAATTGCACTGATTTGAAGACAGTCCTCTACCCTATTCCTATTTATTCCTTCTGCTGATATTCTTTTTCAGAAAAGCCAGAAATTCGGAAGCTTTTGTTGACTTCAGTATAATCTTCAAAAAGGACATTCATGCAACTGTTAAGATGAGACGCTTTATCTCTTTTTAGTCTCTTGGAAGATACTGTGTTCTTTAATTTCAGTCTGATGCATTATTCTTAGCTTTTATTTTTGAATGAGATGTATCTTAAATCTGTTTCGAGAAATATTCTTCAGTATTGGGAAATCTTCAATGGGTGATTTTTTTGTTTATTTGGTTTTTTTTGTTCCCCTTTAGTTCTTCTACCTTTGATAGATCGTATGGGAGATGCCAAAGACCAAGTTCGAGAGCAAGCACAGAATCTTATATTGAAGTTGATGGAGGAGGCAGCACCACCCATGGTATGATTACTTAACATAGGTTCAGATGTAGTCCTCTATGGCCCTTGTTACTTATGCATGAGCTTGACTTTGAATATGTCACAATTACAGTTACTGTTAATGGCGTCAATGTTAAGGATGTTCTTAATGGATTAACAGTGACACACTGTTTGGCTTCAACTGAAGATAGAAATCTGGCACAGTGCACTTCTGCAGTTTTTGCATATCATAGCTAAATTTTGAGTAGATGTTTTCATGTCATGTGGCGAGAGTTTGTTAATTGAAGCATATTTGAAGCATCATGCTGGCTTTGAATTTGCATAATAGGAATAAATAAGTCTTTTTTTAATTAGCTTTGCACCATGTAGGAGTAGTCCCACAATTGAGGTAGTAGATTCTAATTTAGAAAATCTAGTTTTCTAGACATACGATTAATTTGCTGTGTGAACCTTTGACAAACTGAGATTGTGAAAAGTTTCCCTCTGCCTTGTCTACTTCTGTTGAAGTCTGAGTTAAGCAAATCTTTGTACGCTTCTGAGCACTGTGTGGCTCCCAAGTGCTACATGTAGTATTCCTACTTGCATGAGCCTGAAAAATGTAGGATTGCTTAACAGGATTATATTGTTTGAGCAGTGCTATTATGCAAAACTCTAGGGACCCTGGTCTTCAATAGAAACTGTTACTGAACTTTTTAATTCCTCTTAAGAAAACCTGCTTCCAAGTTTAAGTGTAGGCATTAACAGGGAGCATCTTCATTTTGTGAATCTCGTTTTGCTTATCCGCATGAAGTTTTTAACTGTGAATTCCTGACTGTGTGTGTTCACAGATACAGGTTTGAATGTTTGTGTACAGGGAATGCAATTTTGTAAACTCCATTTGCAGTGAGAAAACTATTCTTGATTGCTTGGTTTGCATGATGGGAAAATACAGGTTGCACGTCAAGCAGCTATAGAAACTTCTCTGTTCAAACGCGAAGCGTTTTCAACACGGTATTTGGTCACGGATCTGAATAGTGTTCAGGCAGCAAAGTCTAGGAATGTCATCTGCAAAGCCTTTATCTGTCCAAGAGTTTGCAGTTTTGATCATGTTCATTGACAGGAGACATCACAGCAGCTTTTTTTTATGCCTAAGCACAAGCGGTTCACAGATGACACGTTCTTCTGCCCAAGATGCTCAGAAGTACACAGCATGGAGACCTGAAAGCACACCTGCCCCCTAATCTAATAGCATTTGGATAGATGCATAGCATAGCATCTTGGAGACTTTTCCATTTGTGCAATAGCTGATGAAGAACGTGCTGATATTTGCTTCATAGGATAGGCCTTCGTTATGAAAGAATTTTAGATTACTGGTACATCTCTTGATTTCTGAAGAGAGCCTTAATGGTTAGACTGCACACTAATATGAGAGAGGCTTCCATACCCTTTGCTGAAGCTTCCCTACAGTGCAGGAAGGAATGCAGGATTGATGGGGGTTCAAGGAAGAGTGTATGTAAATAAGAGAAGACATAGCTCTTCTGGTACCTCCCCAGGAATGGGAGAATCCTGGCTTCAGGTCTTTGCTCCCAGGACTGCTTATGTATTTTCACTAAAAATTTGGATAAAAAATAATTTGGATGGAATAAATTTCCTCCAATGAGGGAGGAAATTTGGAATGCATAAATCATCCTCACAGCAGGGGCCAAAACAGAGAAGTCCTTCCTGTACCTCCAACCTGAACTACAGAGTTTTAGGCTCCCTTTGCTGCAGAGAAGCATCCCTTTGGAAGAGTTGGGTGGAATCCTTTTTTTTTTTTTTTTTTTTTTTTTCTTTTTTGGATAAGACCTGTAAGTCTCTTGCTGATCATCTCATCTGGTCTGTTCTAGTGTGTCCTTAAATAATATTTAATTTGTCCTATGGTAAATTCCTTTATTTTGTTGTGAATGTGTTTAAGAAGAGGAAAAAAAAAAAGTTAGGGGTAGCTGGTTATAAGGGTCAGGGAAAAGCAGCAAAATCGGAATATAGCTGGTATAAATGCATGGATGGGACAAAGGGAGGTTGATACCAGCTGTTGCTAGCAAGTCATCTATTGCATGAAAGTTGAAATTTCTAAGAATCTGTTTGAATTTCTCTATTTAGATTAATCTGATTCTTAAACTGGAGTTAATTTAGTAAAAGTCTAAATTTCTCTTCAGTCTTTGCTTTGTTTCAGTACTCTACAGTTTCCTTTCTACCTCTATTTTTGTGCACCTGGGAAGGCGATTTCGGTTTTTTTCGTATTTGTCCTGAATGATGGGCTAATGTTGGAAGGTTGTTTTCTTCCCTAAAACCCTGTTCTTTATTGTTAACCTGTGCAGTTTTGGCAAGCCATGTTCTGCTTCTCTGAGGTTTAATTTTTTTAAAAATGTAATAAAGTATTAAAAAAAAAAAAATCACAGATGGTTCAAAATGATCAAGTAGATTGTAACTGGAAATTTTATGTCTGCTATAAACTGTGCTACCTCATTAGGAAAGAAGGTGCAGTGTTCCCTGCTGCTTAAACTATCTGTTTTTGGTGATCAATAGCTGTTCGTGAGTGGTTTTTTTTTTTTTCCAGAAAGCCAAATCCTTTTGTGAAAATTTGTATCTAATGCATTTTAAAAGATGTATGTAATCATTATAGATTGGAATTGCAGCCCTTCAGGGGTAGGAACGAGGGTGGTGCCTAGGCTGCAAAATGTGCTATAGCCAGTGTGCAGCCATTGCTAGGCAACAACGCCCCTCGGATGCTCGCTGCCTGGCCGAGACTGTAATGGCAGCGTTGCAGCCGAGGGAGTTGCAGTTTGAGCCTGTGCATCTGCTCTGAAATACTACTGAGAATCCAAAGTCTCGTAAGCTTCATGTTTACGCTATTTACACCGTGACATACAGCTAGAGAACGACAAGGAAATGGAAAGGTAAAAAGATAAACCGAGAAGTGAAAGAGTAAAGGCAGGCAATGAAAAGTGAACGTGCAAGAAGGTAAATGAGGGTTTAGTGAGCCAGAGGATCGTACCACAGAAAACAACACCAGCACAAAAGGAGAAACAAAAGCAGAACGAAAATAGAAGCAAATAAATGAAAATGAGCAGGCAAGAAATAATTGAAAAATGAAGAAATTGAAATAAATTTAAGGCAAAAGTAGAAGAGAAGTGGACAGCAGGAGTATGGATAAGGGCAAACTAAAATGAATGAGAAGAAATTTTGTCAGGGAAAGAATATGAAGCAAAAAGTATTGAAACTTCTACTTGAGTCACTAGTTTGAAATGTTAATGTTTGTGCATTTGTAACTAACAATTCTATATATTTTTCTGAAAGCTATTTCTTTAAGTAATGAAAATATTTAGATAGGTTTCGTGACACTTCAAAATGTTCGGAGGCATGGGATAATCTGTATATGTTCCATATTGCAAATTTTGTAATTTAATTTTATCTGAGAAATGCCTTTACTTTGCCAGTGGACCTGTCTTTTGTTGTTGTTTTTGTAGCTGTTGTTATGAATGTGATTATAGAAAATGGATAGAATTGCATTGTATTTTGCTTGCAGTCATCAAAGTCAATTTCTGTTTTATAGTACATTTGGGAACGCCTTGCTGTTGGCTTTAAACACAAGAATTACCGATCCCGAGAAGGAGTGTGTTTGTGTCTTATTGCAACCTTAAACACGTAAGCTTTTTGTCTCCTTGGAGACGTACGGATTCTGTCCTTTTTCCAAGTGTCTCTTTTCCTCTGAAATTAGTACTTTAGGAAGCCTGATTCAATTAAAATCATAAACAGGAAAAATCAAACAATTTGACCTGTGAGCTTTCTGGAAGAAAGATTAAAGGTATAATATCTTGTCTCACTTAAAAATAGATGAAAGACTTGAGAGAGTGAGATGGAGCTTGATTCATACATGTAAATTTGAATATTATTGATGCTAAGCTACAAGTTCTCTTTCACATAAAGCATTTTCTGTATTTCTACAAAAATGACATTTAACTTCTTGTTTGTTTGCTTGTTCTGTAGTTATGGTGCGCAACCGTTAACCCTCAGCAAGTTGGTACCACATCTGTGTATGGTGTTTGGTGACTCGAATAGTCAGGTAAGCATTTCACTGCTTCCTGTTGCCATAACTACTATACTTTGAAAGAAAAATGAATTCCAATTTAATGTAGGCATTTAAGAAAAGCCCACAAACTTATTTGCATGCAAAAGATCCTTTTTCCTACCTTAAGAAACAGTAAATCGGTTTTCTTTCGAATCGGTGCATCCACTGGAAGATGAACGTAGAGCTGCAAAGGCAACGGTGTTCCTTCTCAAGTTTAATATAGTGGCCTCTTTAGTTTTGCCTTCAAAGACTGAAACTAGTTACTGTTGGAAGTAGTTGTTTCTTGCAGAACATGTTGAAAGAAAACAGATAGAAATTATATTGACAAGAAGGCTTGAATCTACAGAGAGCTCCTAAATGACACCTGTAATAGTCTGCCACATTTGGCTAAGGTAACATTATCATGTGCAAGATGGATAAGAATCTCTTAAATTGAACCCACTTGGCATTTGAGCGCATGCAAGACTAGCTAAAAATTGATTAAGCAAAGAAACATCTAAAATTTGAGATGTAGTTCGTAATAGTGAAGACTGTTGAACTTTAGAAAGCCTTTAAATGGAAATGGTTGAATCCTCTCTCCAGACTTATCTAAAGTTGGGCCTGAAAGAATATTTTAAAATGCAGTAAGGCAAAGCTAGCATTGGAATGAGATGGATAAATAAATGGAACACGTCTATTTTCTGGGTGCAACAAAGTCTGTCTTTCCTTCCAACAGCGTTGGTCTTACTTTTCTGTTCTGTAGAAAATCTTTTAATTGTTTATTGATTGCTAGTAACAATGTAGTTCATATCTTGATAGAGTGATTGTACTATTAGTGCAGACCATTACAAAGAAGAATACTGAAGTCATTCCAATAATTCTTTGTAAGGAATAGTGGAATTCAATAACATGTACGTTAGCAGTATTTAAGATAATGAGTGTGACTCAAATTTTTGGAGGAGACATTCCCTTCCCTGGCTTTAACTGTTCTTTTCCCTCCTCCCCGTCTTTTATTTTTCTATTTCTTGTACTTACGTGATACCACCTCCTTATGAAGGAAGTGAGGCTAATACTGGTCACTTTGGCTTACTCTTGTGGACAGTCATGCCCTTACTTCTAAAGAAGGGCCTAGCTGTGTGTATAAACAAATGAAAGCAAGATGAAGTGTCAATGCTGAATGCATGGACTAACTTCTTGGAATTGTTGCCTAGTGTGACAGGGCCTTAAAAAAAAAAAAACCACGCACACGTTTTCCCACAAACATGTTCATTGCAGAAATTCCATCTAGAGCTGTTCTTTCTAGGATTTTTTCATTTACCATTTGGACATGCTTTACTTTGGGAGAAAGCGCTATCTTGAAATAACAGTTGTATTTCCTTTCTCTTCTGTCTTCACAATTTCAACTGTTTTGTGAGATAAGTCGGCACGCAGGTTGGAAAATTGGTGGATTGTCAGTGAAATGTTGAATTGGTTTCTGTAACCCTGAAATTAATAATAATTTGATCTGTGCGTTCACAGGTGAGAGATGCTGCCATACTAGCCATTGTAGAGGTTTATAGACATGTGGGAGAGAAAGTACGAATAGACCTTAATAAGAGGGGAATTCCTCCTGGAAGGTGAGTGAGTTATTTTAGTTTTGTGATCCTGCGCTGTTCTGTGTTGCTCTTTTTACAGAGTTTTAAGTTCTGACAAAAACTGTTTAAAAGTTAATACTATTTTTATCCAATCTTCCAGTTAGTTTTGCTTCCATCATGACATCACAGGTGTTCCTTTTGTGGTGGTGTTTATTTATTTATTAAAAAAAAAAAAACACACCAATTATACACAGATGGAGTAGAGAACTTGCCATCCTCTTTTCTGCTTTGAAGAGGCATACAGGTGTATGACTAAAAGCAACCTAACCTTCAGTAACTGAAATCCCATGATTGTAAGAGAATCTGAGAGTACTAGAAAAATGTTTGAGAATTATGCAAATACATACTGTATGAGTACTGAGAAGTGGGAAAGTTACTGGAAAATATTTGAATACGTGCATCGTGCTCGTTATTTGGTAATGGCTATTCAGCCTGAATGTAGAGGAGTCACAACTGAGGCACTTCAGTCAATCCTTTTCATGTTGTATGTGTCTATGTGAGTGAGAGAGAGAATGAGATAGTGTGTTTACACACGTGTTTGTGAGTGAAGAGAAAGTGTGGCATATCCTCAACCAGCTACTGCTTTCTTGAAGCTAGTTGCAAGGACGAAGGTCCTCCCTTGCTGCCTACTAATTACATCAGACCAGTCCTTTCCACCATAGATGTCTGCTAATAGGCCACAGTTAGATAAGAGAGGTGCTTTTCAAAGTACCTACTTCTAAATTGTGAAAATGCAATTCTGGGATTCATTGAGAAGGAGCGTTCACTGGACTAAGTGCTGCATAGGCCATCACAGACCACTGGATATTTCTTGTAAAAGGTGAAATGAAATTTTGAAAATGCTTTCTTCAGTAATTTCTTTTTACAAAGAGCAATTCATATCTTTTAAAGGCTGGTCTGTGTTGGGTGTGGGTTAATTTATATGAAGAAACAGTAGCCTTTTTATTATTGTTACTGTGGTAAGGGTTTGTTTCATTAAGAAAACTAGGTAGCTTGATACTCTATTTGGCAGAAAGATTGTTCATACAATAAAGTCTTTCAAACTCCTTATTGAAAACAATTTACGCTTTTTAAAAGATGTGTTAACCCCTTATTAACTCACATAACACTTTGATTCTTCATCGCACTTTCTCAGTCTTGGGAAAGCTGAATGCATCTAACACGTGGGGTCAGAGAGAGTATCGGAATGGATGTCTTCTCTTGTTTGTAATGATGATTTACACAGTATTGAAATATCATAGGAAGATGGTGTGGAAGTTATTGTTTCATGTTCTGGGCAGAGTTCAGCCAGTTTCACAAAAAGTTGCTATACCAATGGAAGGGAAATTATAAATGCTCTCTTCTACTTAATGGTTGTCACAATTCTGGAGTATCAAGAAATTATATGGTTATCACAGAAGTACGAGGCTGTGGTATTACTACAATGCAAAAAAAAAAGGAAAAAAAAAAAAAGAGTTCCACAGCAAGTAAACGGAGCATATTGGGAAAAAAATCCTTCTTGCATCGAAACAGAGTCTTGGGTATCTTTTGGAGTAGAGAATAAGAATGAGAAAGTGCAGATTACAGCCTTTGCCTATGCTGTGAATGTTGGTTGTGACTGAAAGTTTAGGCTTAGTGTACTTATCCTCCTGACGTTTCCATATGTGTGATACAAACCAAGTAAACCTTGGGATCCAAACAGGATTAAACATCATGGGAGCTTTGTCTCCTCAAGGTAATCAACAGCTTCTAATTTAGTTAGAGTAGGAGCCAAATCGTTAATCTTGCTGTCTGAATCATTGAGTACAAAATTCCCCCGATCTAAAAGTAAGCATAGTTGTACCATTTTAATTCACATAAACAAGCAAGGCTGCGCCTGGTGCGTGGTCCTACTGGCACCTGCTGTTGAATCTCAGCAGTTTTGCAACTGAGAGTCAAGGCCGGTGTAAAATAATGGGTGAGGTGAGGCTGCGTTCTTCTAAGTAGCGTTCAGGTTGGGAGGATGGGGGAATTTATGAGTTAAGTGAGTTAAACATGACATCGCTAGTCTTCAGCCCTAGCATTGACAGGAAGCAGAATTTCTGTAGTCCCTCCCTAGTCCTTCATGCAGTAATAACTAACGTAGGTGACAAAGTTCAGGAAAGACAGATTAGCTCTGGGGTAGTTCAGACTGTTGTTCCTTCAGAGATGGAGCTAGTTTCAGAGGTTTCTTCCTCAGTGCCTGCCAGAAATGCGCTATTCAGTTAGATGCGTTAAACTGTGTGTGTGGCTATGCAGGAGTGATGATCTGCGGATGATCTATTGATTTAGACTGTCATTTTATCATTACTCTGATGTAATTTATGTTTGTATTTATGTCTGGGCAGATTTTAAGGATTTTAAGTACTATAGATTATCAGTAGCTCAGACACAGTTATGTTCAGTTGTTATGTTCAGCCTTAAAGCAGTGCACTGCATCTCTTTCACTATATGACAGTATATTTAAAAAATTCTGCTTAAACGTGCATGATAGCAGAAATCCCTATTATTTGAGTATTTGGTTTACTCGAGATCTAGCAGAATGTAGACATGTTTGATTTACATACCAAATTGCAGGTTAGAGGTCTGTGTGTTGCTGCTTGAATATGCCCTGCCCGAAAGCACTGAAAATATGAGCTCATGTCTGCTGAAAGGCAGGCAGGAAAGTGAATCAAGCATTGTTTTGAGATATTGTTCAACTTCCTTAAATAGGTCAATGGTATATACATGTTATGTCCATATAAAGGCAAATGTAATTAGTAATTTAATTTCACTAGGCTTAAAAAGTTTTGCTGTCTGCATCTGCTATGTTAGCCTTTGTAGCAAGATGGGATTTTCTAGAGAAGGTCTGTTGAATCTGGTTAGGAATCTAGATTGTCAGCAGAAGGAGATGAGATTTTACTTTTGTAGCTTGATTCTACTTCCTAGTAAAGTATTTTTCTCAGTGCAGTTTTATTCTGTTGTAGAGATTAATTTGCAAGTTACCATTTATAAATAACATCAGTACAAAGCGTTCCTGTTTTCCTTTTGTTTCTTTCCAGTTTACAGATCTCAGAACCTTGCTTTTTACCTGAGGCATATTCCATTTTGAGAAAAATCTCTATCCAGTCAGTGTTTGGAGATTTGGATGCATTTTCCCTTTTATTAAAGCTGCTGTCAAAAAGGTTGGGCAGGCATTGGTATCAGGCCTTTAAGCATTAGTGTCAATTGAGAATACTGAAAGTGGATGCTGTATCTGTTGTTCTGTGGGCCAAGAGTAGTGAGCGGTTTCCTTTCTGTATGGGCCAAACAGAATTTGTTGTAGTATGCTTTACGGTATGTGTTGGTTGGTTCTTGTGTTAGTTTTCACTTTATATGTTTAAAAGGAAATAGCATGTTAATGGGATTCCATGTGTGGTAAGGACAGGCTGGCCCTTGAAAAGCACTTACTGTAAGAATTACCGTTTTATTCTTTTGAGTCTAAAACAGTGCAAAAAATACGTTTTGCTATAACTTGCCTTTGGTTTGCAAATTGAGCTTTTCATTAGAAGACTGAGGTTTGACGTTAATGCAGTGTAGTCTGACTTTTGTGAATTGCTGCTCTTTCAGACCCTTTGCTGTGGCTGCAAAGGTTATAAATGCAGCAGCGGCACGAAGGGAAGAGGTTAGCAGGGTCCAGAAAGGAGAGTGACAAGTACGTTGGGGGAAGTTTATGCAGAGTACCACAGAGTCATAGATAGTTTTGAGAAATAAGTTGAGGTGGAATAATTGTTGGCTTGTGTCATGGGTTATTAGGTTTTTGGTTTGTGTGATCTACCTTATGTTTTGTTTAGTTTAGCCCTGTGAGAAATAAAGTAGGAAATTCCTTCTTGTGGCACTCCCAGCCTCTCCTGCCTAGTTCTGTTGTGCGCCTGTTAAGTACAGGAGAAATTCTGCCCTTTAGTGAATCGCTTTCAAGTGCTTTGAAAGCAAAAGTAACATGTTTTGAGAGTACGAAGACGAAACATTTGAAAGTGATGAAATGCTAAGGGTTTTCATACTGTTATCTGGCTGCGTTTATGATTTTAGCACATAATTCTTTATTAGATAAAGGAGGTGCAGGTGAATGAAATGAGTATACAGTGCGTCAGGGAAAGTAGATTATGTACAGTGAAAGAGTATTAACCTCTGTACATGGAACAGAGTAAAAACAGTAAGTTTGTATGGAAATGCTGAGGCTAAATTTCCTCACGCATCCTTCATTTTGCTGCTTTCTGTATCATGAGAATTTTCATACACAAACGTTGTTCTCTCTCATCTTTCTTGGTTTGTCTTAATACGCGGTCTGGATTGTGAGTAGTAAACAGAACCTTTAAATATTTGCTTTTGACAAATTTTGAACCAAATAATGCAATCTCTACCATAGTGGTGTAGCTGAATTATGGGTGTTTTTGGAGTTTTGCAAGCTGTGATTTGTAACTAGTAACTCTGTGCATTTAAGGCCAGAATTCACCCTGTGAGTCTTATATCTAAAGTTCATGTACATGTTAAATATTACCATATTCAGAGCAGTTCAAGATGCAAGAAAAGTCATTGGAGAAACATAAGAAAGTATTCCCTGTTGTTTGCAGTTGAATGGTATGCCAGTACAGACCTGTTGCTAGCCTGGGGGTCAGATTTGTTCTGCAAGATACTTCCATTGCTTCTACTACATTTTCTGCAGAAGTGATGAGAAATGGCTGGTGAGGTGTTTGGCCGGCTTTTCTGATTAAACAGCATTTTCTCCTTGTAGCAGCCCAACTCAGAACATTGCAGGAGTGTGAGCGGGGATGATGGCAGTAGCAGCCTTATTAAAGTCTCTGTGTTAAAGAACTCAAAATGTTATGCTGGTATATTTCAAGCATTATATTTCATTACATATTTTTAATAAGATATCTCTTTTATTCTAACATGTTGAAGTCAGTTTAATTCCTTTATTTCCTATTTTGTGCAACTGAACTGAAAATAATGGAAATTCTTTTTGCTTTTTATGGGAATTCAGCATTTCCAGTATATCTTTATTATGAGGCTATGTATTCAGTGGTATGTAATAATATTGAACATGCCTAGAGTGTGTAGTTTTTCTTAAGTCTAGAAAAAAAGCTAGCTTTCTTTTTGCTATTGAAAAATATTTTCATAACAAAACTGAGACTTTTGATAAAAAAACAGTAATTGTCTTGGAGCAAATTAAATAGTAAACCCTGTGTTTTTCCACCTAAACATTCTGTAGTTAAAACTGTTACCTGTTAGTGTTGTGTATAGATGTGCTAGGTTCACAGCCACTTTGGACGTGATGCATACTATTACTGAACCCGTACTTCAGAATTTTTAATTATTTCAGTCATAGTAGTTACAACGTGCAGTTTTGTTCTTTGCTAAAGTCAACTTAATTTTTTCTGTGCGTTTATTTGAAGATGGTCAGCTAAGTTAAGAGGAAGCGTCCTTTGGGAGTTGTTTTTAGAAACTCATAATCCCTTGCATTGGCCAACATTCAGCTGTATTACTGCTTTGTATGTGAGAATAAATGGAGTAACACGGAGGATCTCAAATAGACATAAGAATTTTTTTTTCTTTACAGGTTGCAAACAATCTTTGCAAAGTTTGATGAAGTGAGAAACTCTGGAAATATGATTTTAAGTAATATCAGTGGTGAGTATGAATACTTACCTTGTATTAATCTTAAGATCTGGTTATAAATATACATTTTTGCATTGCCAAAGTGAAACACATGATTCTAGAAGTGTGTATAGGAATACTATAAAAATCAGACAATAATATAGTGAAACAAACTTGTTTGTACTGTATTACTGAACATCTTTCTGGACTACCATCAGAATACAATCGAAAAAAGTGTTGAAACTACATGGAAGCAAGCAAACAAACCTTTATCCTATACTACAGTATATTTCTGAAAGAAAACAATAGTTTAATGTGATTATATTGTATGATTCCTTCTCAGTTAAAATATTGAATAATGGTTGTAAAACATACAAAGTGTTTAAAATGATGGAAGTAGGAGACTAGTATTCAAAGACACTGAAATGTTGAAGTTAAGACTTTGTATTGAAACTCCCCTCTGTGGTAGTGAGTTCGAGCTCTTTTGGTGCATTTCATGAAAACCAAATCTGTTGTGCAGAGAATTCTTGAAGAAAGCATATGATTTGTTAATGTACACAAACTTACCTTTTTGATTTTAAAATCGTTACCCTTCTCTTGTTAGTGTGAAAATGGAAGCAATCATAAAAATACATTTCTCTGATCCTACAGCCTTTTTGTTTGGTATAGTAGAGTTTCTGTGCTGCATTCTGTTTTGAAGTGAAACGCTGCTATTCCTGAGAAGCCTTTAAGAGTACTGAAATAGATATATAACGATTAATATAAAAAAGGAAAAAGAATATGTATTAAATTTGGCAGGAAATGTTTTACGTAAATGTTCTGTTAAAGCAGATTTACTTATTGTGGAAGGGTAAACCAATATTTTTTACGTTCAAAGTTAATACTGATTCATAAGTTTGAGAGGTTTCAAAGATGAATTTTACTTTTTTTTTTCCCCCCCCCCCCCCCATTGGCAGCTTAGTGTGGGGAACTGAGCAAGTTACAGGAGGAAAGGAGGGGATGTGTGTGTGTATATGCAGACACCTATAAATACACTGAATATAATTGAATGCATTTGAATATAATATACCATATATGTATGTATAAAAAAAAATACATATAAATAAAATAAATACGATGAGTTAACGGCCGAACTAGTTTACTTAGCACTTCTGAGCTTTTGTCTCTATCTTAACTGGAGTTGACAGAGTCTCAACTGTAGAATGCAGATGTTAATGCTGTTCTACAGTGGCATAAATCACTGTGTCTTATAAGTGGCAGATTTTATACAAAAGCTACTATGTTTGTCTGTTTCGATGCGTAGACACAGAATCCCTCTAGTATATTTGTTTCAGTATTTTTGGTTGAACCTAGTGTATCTTTTGAATTCATCTGAACTGATCATTTTTCAGTGTTGTCAAAAAAGATACTGTTCTGTTGCTATTGTTTTTTCATGGTAGTGTCTTTCATTGTTCTCTGAAATACAATTTGTATTTATTTTTTCCATATGTAAACTGAAAGTTGCTGGTGAATTCCTATAGCCTGGTTATCAGCTTTTCTCTTAGCAGCTTTATCAAACATGTCTGGAGAGAGGCAAGATTTTAATGTTCAAATACATATGCTAGAAGGTTGAAGTTTTTTTATTTTAATGCTCTTAAAATATGGTTTGTTTGTTTGGTTTGGAGTAGGGATTGGGAAGGTAAGGGGGGAATAGGATGATGCTTCCAAAGAAAAAAGGCAAAAAATATGTTGATAGACTTTGACATAATTACACTAGCAAAGCTCTTTAGTGGACCTTTTTACCAGTGGAAGGAATGTTTTTGCCAGCTTAATTGAGTTACTTTTCCAAATAAGTTAGCTGTGCTTCTAGGATTCTCCTAGAAGTGTGTAACGGATAAGGAAGGGCTTGCTAATACGACTGGCTAATGTGATCTTTTTCGTAGTCCAAACTGGCATTGCTATGCTAGTGAATCTTTGTAGCATTGACCTAGTTTCTGAGAATTCAGAGATGAGACTCTAGGACTCTTTTATCAAATAATACTTCTGACAGTTGTTCAGTCACTTCATTTAACAAGTACTTAAAAGAAAAAGAAAACCTCAAAAATCTCGGCTTTAAACAATCTGAATAAAAATGTTTTCCGTAGCATTTTAAAAATTCCGAGAAATACATATTAAAAAAAAATTGTACTAAAATGATTAAACACAGTGGCTTTTCAAGTTTAGGTCTTCCACAGTGACAAGCATTGTATTGGTGTCTTTAGATATGTGGGAGAAATACAGGGAGGAGAGGAACACACATCCTGCCTGTATTCTCATACACATAGGTGGATTTAATATCTGTTAGAGCGGACCTAGCAGAGAGGATCCCTTTCAGTCTTGTGTTCCGGCCTTCCTTTATTGACTCTGGTCCCTGGTGAACAGTAAAGAGGAAGAGGGCAATGAGTTATTGGTAGAGCCTGACAAATCCTCTTGGAGGACAGAAGAGGCGGAAAAGATACTGAAACAACTATTGTTTGAATAATTGGGACAGAGTGTAGCACGGAGCTTCAAAAACCAGCAGATGAGAAGTAAGGAAGGTACAAGAGACACTGGGCAGGACTGCTGGTGCATTTGCTTGGTGTAAAGGACTTACAAGCTTAAATAATATTATACTGTGAACTTAGCTCTCCAACTGACCTTAGTTTTCCCCCACCCACATTATGATTCCAGCATCTTCCCCTGCCCTCAGTCGGTCGGCTGTGGTTGTTAAAAACAGACATCGTTCTTTACTCTGAATTACGTGAATGAATTAGCTGCTATGAAAACCTTGGGATTTCTCTTTTTGTTTTGTTTATCTCCGTAATAGCGTTGCATATTTTGAGAATTGTGTCAGCATATGTTTATGGCTGTCATGCGAAATCTTACGTGTACTGCTAGGTTTTGCCTTTCACTCCCGCAGGAACGTACGTATCCCTGCAAACTGGAGAAGGTGCTTTAAAGCACCTCCCTGTTTCTCAGCAAATAACTGTCCATTTCTATGGAAACAGAACTGGCAGCCAATCTCAAAGCTGCAAAAGCACTTTCTTCTACTAGCTGAGATTTGTAAATATGTTTTCTCTAAGAGAATTTGATCAGACTCCTATACAGGATAGCAGTGTAAATTTTGAGACAGGGAATTAAGGCTAGGAAAAATAATAATATTGAGCTTTATACTTTGTCTCACTAGGTAGACAGAATGATTTGAGTTGAATATAAATTGTATATCTGTATGCAGCCCGTGCAATTTTCCTATTTAAGGGCATGCCTCATAGCTTTATAAATGTAAAATGTGATAGGTGAAATATAGTGGTTTTAGTAACACAGTTGTGGGAGAGCTGTGTTACTGATGTTAAAGACGTAGTTGAGCCACATAAATTTTCATAAACAAGTGAAAATAAAGATCTGTAGCACAATTGTTTGTCTGTTTTGCCACGTTACCCTCTTGTTTTTCCTTGTTTCCCTTGGCTGTTTTCTTTTTGGAATTGCAGTTACTATAGAAACAATGACATCATTATATTGGCAGAGCTCAGAAATGTGGCACAGTATGAAGGTATATGGTTTAGGAAATACGGAAAGTGGTGATAATTGCCGTGACTCTTGTATGTGATGTTGGGCTACCTGTATTTTCTCTTGCTCAATGCAAACGGTCAGCACGTGGCCGTGTGACTTCAGCTGTCCTCCGTGATGGCTCATAATTTTAAATATGAAAATGTGTTGATCAGAGAAGTATAGCTGTAAGGCGGTGCAAGCCTGCTACGAAGTGAAGGGCCTCAGCAGGCCGACGCTTGCACTGTTTTCTGAGGTACTCGCATGGGATTTTGAGTTGTAATTAGCTGGTACTTTAGTAACTTGGTGCCCGTGCTCCTGTGACCGAGGAGTTGCGCGTACGCTCAGCTGTGCCGTGCTAGTACAGATGCGGGGCTGTCTTCCTTGGGCGGAAGTAAACTGGGATGCAGTACTTGCGTTCTCTTGCTTCTACCGTTTTGCAGTACCACAGTTTTCCTACCTTTAATACGCCACTTAAAACATTAACCTAAGAATAAAATATGAGCCGGAGTTCAAGTTTTGAGCAGGCTTTCATTATAATTTTCATGCTATCACAAAATACGCTCCAGCATCTGTTGCGTGTATGTATGCTTTAGGAAGGGAAAAAAAAAAAAGCTGTTTTCTTTCTTTTAAAGTCTCTAATGGCGGAGTGGACCGCCAAATGCTCTGGTCAAGGAGCACCTCTCCTCCGAAAGCCGCCTTGTGCTGTTACTTTTGTCATCCCTTTTCAGATGCCTGCCTACGTGAAGGCCGCTCTGGGGCGAAACAGCGTGGTTCTCGCCCTGCTTCCTGCCCCGAGCGTGCATCGAAAGCTCTGCCACGTCTCTGCCTAGTGCACAATGACATGTTTGTAGATAGGACAGAAGAGTGGCAGGGCGGG